AAGCATGATAATGACTAAAGAGAAAATATTCATTTTCTTTCTTAAGTCTCTGTGTCTGAAACAATTTAACAAGTCAAATGGGAGGAGGGGCAATTCATCATTCAAAGTATCTTTGTGGCATCCTTGAAAAGTTCTCTGTCCCCTGGTGACATTGACTGAGTGTGTCCCCCAAAATTCATATGTGGAAATCTAAACCCCAATGGTTTAGATTTGGTGTTGGTATTTGGAGGTGGGGTCTTTGGGGAACGGTTAGGTCACAAGGGTAGAGTCCTCAGGAATGAGAGTAGTGTCCTTATAAGAAGGGGCCATAGAGCTAACGCTGCTCTCTGCCATGTGAAGATACAAGCAGAAGGTTGCCATCCACAAACCAGGAAGAAAGCCCACACCAGCACCAGACCATGCCGGCACCCTGATGTCAGACTTCTAGCCTCCAGAACTAGGAGGAATAAATGTCTGTTGTTTAAGCCATTTAGACTATGGTATTTTTGTTACAGAAGCCCAAACTGACCAAGACACCAGGCAATTATCATCTTAATTTTACTCTTAAAAATGGTCTTTTCTATGTATTTTGTCCCTGGACTCTGTATTTTATTAATACATAGGAAAATCAGTTTTCTCTTTATAGAAACTGTTTGACTTTGCCTTTGTCCTGAAGCTGACAGTGACATCAATAGCTCGATACTTAGTACATCTTTGATTAAGATAAGGGCTTTTAGCATGTCTCCCTGATTGTATGACTTCATCCAGTCTTGTCAATGGTCTCAAACTTTTTTGATTGTGCATCTTCAAGCTGTAATGATTAGAGCCCTCACACCTTTGAGCAAAAACATTTATTATACATGTTATAATTTTCTAATATAATGAACATTATAAAAATGAAGGCAAATGAAAAAGAAAAGGAAGAAATAGCTAAATGTAATTTTTCTTTTAGTGCCCTAAGTGGTTGCCACAGTTAGTAATTGGGTGCGTTTACCTCACTTTAAGTTATCGCTGATCTTTCAGTAAGTCTTTGGAGACATTTGAAGTCAATAAATATCACATCTCTTGATACGACACTAAAACCATGATAAAACTTTTCAATATAGGAAACCTTTGGATTCATAGATTCGATTCAGTATTCGCAGATTTGATCGAAGCTTTAGTTCGACCCTTTCTCCCACCTCCCGTGGGAGCTGATTATATCTCCCTGGTATTGGCGGCAACCCAGCTTACCCTTTGTAAGAACACATTAGGGATAAGTATTAAAGAGGGAAAGTACATTTTAACAGCTAACTGAGAATTCTTCCCCGATATAATGAGAGATATTTAAGGGCCTTCAGAAAACAACCTTGGAAAGAAAATGGGGTGTGGTGTGAAAACTTTTGTGTTGGGAAAAAATAATATCTGAAGATCTGCTTTCGGTTTTTTCTGACATTTTGAAAGCTTTTGATATCTTTAGAACTTAATTTTACCCCAAATGAATTGGAAAATTATGCATCAGTATATAATTTAGCTTTTCAATCACAATGATCACCTTCTCAACATTAAACCTGGAACATCTTAATATGTTTCAGCAGAATTTCCAAACTGTTTATAAAACTACATGCACCCTTTTCATTACTAAGCAATACAGAGTTACAAAAATGTGCTTACTTATATAAGAAATATATATGAAATTATATAATAGCAAGAAAAAAAAATCCACTGGCCTCATGCACATGGGAAAGGGATTCTAAATTACTGCAAAAAATGCGTAATGGTAATTGAAAACCACCAGCATATTAGGAGGGACATGTCGATAGATCTGCCTTTTAAGAGGCAATATCTATTCTTTGAATTTCATTGCAAATCTTCTCATCTTCCTGGTAATCAGGACAAAGAAGCATGCTCTATGTGATCGGCAGAGTGCCCATTAGTAGCCTATAGAAACAGACATATTTAAAATATAATATTCTTAGTACTTTGCACAAACTAGCAATCTTTTTTTATTGGAAAGAAATGTCTCCTCCCCGTTAATTATTCCGTCTGAATATCCAGTCCTGACATTTAAAGCAAAGCACGTTCAAATTTCCTTTGAAATTTAAAGTTTGTGCTAAATTAGGATTGTTTGGTGGGAAGTGAGTTTTGCATTTGTTAAAGAGATTTGGTTATAAAAGTTTGATTGACTTAAGACTCTTGAAGTCTGTGAATAGAGCCAGTGGCAAGAAAACAAGAGATACAAGTTGGTGGGAGCGTGATTCATCGCTATTTCTATAGTTCTTAGGTTAAAGGACAAAGAGTTGTGGATCAGGGGTCAAGAAATGAAGCTGGAGCTGCTTTTTTTTTTCTTTTGTTATTTTTATTTTAGGATTTTGCAATAACAGTGAAGCAAAATGTTACCCATTAACTAAATATGGTATCTATATTTCTCCTGAGACTTTCTTTATGGAGAGAATGGTGCTCAGTTCTACAGAATGCAGAGGCTTCCTGCAGGCAATCGTGGCTACTCAATAAATGAATATTGAATGGAATTAGTGAAGACTAATATAAGATAGATGCTCCAAGTATTTCTTCCTCTGCCCCTGCTTCTCTTTCTTTCCTCTCCTATATTTATTTACTGAACTCCAGTTCCATGCCAGGAATTGCAGAAGGTGGAGGGGATGTAGCAGTGAACAACAAAAAACTGTACTTGCTCTCATGGAGGTTATATTCTAATGGGCATAGTAGAATATAAGAAAGTAAGCAGATTAAATTACAGTAATTACAAATTGTGACAAGTGCCATGAAGGACCCAATCAAAGAGCCAAGTTAAAAATAGCTGTAGCGCTGGGGAGGCTAAGATACTCTGGTTGGTAGAGAATCTCTGAGATGGACAGCTGAACCATGAGGTGGAGCCAGGAGCCACTGAAGATCTGGCGGAGGGAGTTACAGGAAGATGGAAGGCAGTGACCGTGGTGGTGATGCCTTCGCCTTTTGGAACCTGGAAGATAGACGAGAGATGGAACAGCTAGAACATAGGGAGGGGGATGGTAGCAAGAGATGATGGCATTTCTTTTCTTCTGGTTGTCCCTAGAAACACGTCCTGAAGACTATGACCTAAGACTTTATCTTAGATCACCTTCTGGGTGGAATCCCTCCTTCCGTCCCTCCCTTCCTCTTTCCCTCTATTCCTTTCTTTTTGTTGATTTGCCTATTCTAAATAGCAAAATTTAGGGCTCCTAGTGGCAATTCCATTGGAAAAGGATTAAAAAGTACATCGTGTTTGTCCCCTTCTGAGTTTTCTAAAGGTAAGGGGCTCTGCTTTCTTGCAGTCTTGGGGAACTGTTGTGCCACTGACCTTGCTCTTGACCATGGGGCTTGTCCCGTCTAGTGAGAACAGCTCCAAATACTTTCTCTTTTTGGAGTATTCCTCCCAAAGGTAATGGGCACTGTAGTGTTCAAAATTGAGCAGCCCTCGGAGCACAGCCTTTCTTTAGTGCTATTCACTATCACCTTCCTTTGAAATGGAGTCTTGTGTTGCAGAGTAGCTTGTCACCACAACATCAGCAAACAAAAGTATATGTGCTTAGAAAAAAATGTGTGTGATTGTTATAGGTTTTATTGTAATCCTAAAATATATCTTCCTACATGTCCCACAGAAAAGCTGCATCCTTTTATGCCATGAATAGTGAATAGGATAAGGGGCTCTGGGCTGAACAGAAGCCTAACAAAGCAAGCTTAGTCTATCACTCACCCCATGTTTGAGTTCCTTCTGCTATATTTCTATCAAATGGTGATGTGAATGCCTCTTGAATATCTCTAACAATGGAAATATTTAATGCCCATGTTGCTTATTCCAATGAAGGAGTGTCTGTTTAGGCATTCATTTGGTGACCATTCCATTCACTTCATTCACTGGCCAGTTGGGTGGAAGGTTATTTCATCAGCCAGGTATTGATGCTTACTTATGTGCCAGGAATTTTGTCAGTCACAAATGTAAAGATAAAAAAACATTGTGAAAAGACTTGTATCCTATTTTTAATAAGCTTATAGGTCCAGAAAAGAAACAGAGTGTAGATTAGTCAAGGGCACTGAAGAATGACAATTGCTGTAATGCAAATATGTACAAAGTTAATTGAGATTATTTGTCTGCCAGAGTAGTGGTTGGGAAAAAAAGTAAGTTCTTTGCTTTTACAGCAGATAGAACACAAGAACAGTGATCTGTCACACATGACTTTGTGGAGCTAGGTGTTTTTTTTTTTTTTTTTTTAATCTCATGTTAATATACTTCTACCAGTCTAATTTAACTCTCCCCATCTTTAAAATGTTTTATAGCAGTGGACCCCAACCTCTTTGACACCAGAGACCAGTTTCATGGAGGACAGTTTTTCCATGGACCAAGGGTGGGGGTAGGTGCTGATGATCTGACAAGGAGCCAGGCTGGGCAGTGATGCGAGTGATGGGGAGCGGCTGTGGGTGCAGGTGGGGCTTCCCTCTCCCCCGTCTCTTGCCTCTGGCCATGCAGCCAGTTTCTGGCATGCTACAGACCAGTGGTGGTCTGCAACTGGTCCCCACCTTCGTCCCAGTGGTTGGGGACCTCAGTTTTATAGTTTGTCTATATACGTGACTTTTATAGAACTTACTTACTTGCCTGTCTTTGACACCCACTTGTTGGTCTTAAAATGTTACTCACTGGGCCTAGAGTGCAGAGAAGATAAGGTCAATGATGGGTACATTTTAATTTTATTTCCAGATCCTAAAGAGTTACATTGAATTTAAGTCAATTTCAGGAGGAAAATCAAGTATTAAAAAGTTCTGTGGGGGGGTTGCAGTGACTCATGCCTGTAATTCCAGTGTCCCAGGGTTCCAGCTACTAGGAAGGCTGAGGCAAGGAGATTGCTTGAGGCCAGGGGTTCCAGACCAGCCTTGGCAACACAGTGAGACCCTGTCTCTTAAAAAAAAAAAAAAAAAATTAGACAGGCTTGGTGGCTCATGCTTGTAGTCCTAGCTACTAGGGAAAGTGAGGTGGGAAGGTCTCTTGAGCCCAGCAGTTCTAGGCAACAGTGAGCTCTGATTGTGTCACCAAGCAACAGAGTGAGAACAGTGCCTATAAAAAAAAGAGAGAGAGAGAGAAGAAAGTTTTGTTAAACTCTTTAATACGGTTTTTACTGTACCATCAATCATCAAAGTGTAGCAGCTCAGAAGCCCATGTGTGAAGCATCTGGCTATTCCTGGTCAGAAGTACTTGAGACCCTCTTTAGGGAAAAACACTCACAGGTCCAATTTTCCATTCCATTTTTGCTCGTGAGTTCTCCATGCTTTTAAATAAAAGTTCAAGCTCCCTAAAGTTCACACTCATTCAAACTCCTTTGGCTCTTTAGCTACAGAATGCAGGAACTCAGCTATTTGAGAAAGACTGCTCTAGGCTACGTTTGATGCAATCCCTGTTTCTATTTTGATCCTGCCTTGTCTCCTACACACTTCCGTTTCTTCTTCTGTAGGCTCTTCCTCTGCCCATCTACTTATATCTCCACATCCCAAATCCAAAAGCTCTACTCCTTTTCTTCTCCTTGAAATACGTACATTCCTTAACTTTGAACTTAACCTCTGAAACATTTTTAAAGACCAATTAAGTCTCAAAACACAAAATTTGCAAAATTCTTTATGTTTTTGTAAAACCACTCCTTTCCCTGTCTTTCACTCCTTGAGTGGCTATTCAAGCCCTGGTCGACCAGATTTAAATGCTGTGTGACCTTGAGCAAATTAATCACTCTTTCTGAGCTACCTTTCATTTCTTCACCACAATGGTCAGACAGTAATGCACACTTCATGGGCAGCTGAACATTAAATAAGCCAATGTTGTTAAATGACATAGTACAGTGCTTCTCTTCTTATGTAACTTACCCCTTGTGTCTATTAAATTATGCAGTAATTCTGGAAAGAGGAGGTAACATATCAGAGTACCTCATACTAAACTTAATAATACCATCATATGAACAAAGACACAACTATAGAAGTGTTAGGTACAATTTCTGCTTAATAAATTTTAGTATATTGCTACATTCAAATTTCAGTGGGAATCAGACTTGATCCTTCTCAGTTGGAGTGGAAATAACCTCTTCCATGCCTCCTGCATACCTTAGTACATTGATGGGATATGGGTCTGTAGCAAATGAGAGTGGCAGGTTCTGAGATTTATATATAGGTACCTGCTATTGTTTGTTCTATATGAAACAGCAGAAAAATACTGAGCCAAGTTTGGGCCAAGATAACCTAACCCACTCAAAGATTTTACAGCTGGATGAGGATGCTTTGGGGATACTCCATTAACAGTGGACTGCCTATAACTCACCCAAAAGCATATTTATAAAAATATAGATGGAAAAAATAAGCTTATATTTTTGCTTTTCTTCAGGCAATTTCCACTAACCTAGATATTGTGCTGCTTTTTAACTCTGCATATTATCATGTGCAAATTAATGTATGCAACTTAACAATACTCTGTAGTTGAAATCAAGGCAATTTAGCCTACTAAAAAAATAGTTATTTATGGCACCAGAACCATTAGATCAGATCAAAAGCCCTTGAAAACCAAGAATGGAGATCTAGTTCTAGTAGGATATTTCCCTGAATGGATTAGAGATTGATGTTTTAAATCCTCATCATAATTTTATTAATTGAAAATAATATTTACTGTTTTTGCTTGGGCTACTATTTTCCTTTTATTGCCTTCATATTCTGCTCCTAAATCTTACAAACAATTAAACATATTAACATTAGAAAACAGTTTGCTGCTATATATTTACCCAATTATGACAGCACTTTTATTCTTTTTGCATTATTTTGATATAATACATTTTTCTTTGCATAATGTCTTTGGTGAAAACCAAATGACAAACGTATTTGCAAGAAAATTATTAGTCAAGAGAGGGCAGTAAGGTTTCTCTAGAGTGAAATAAAGAGATTTCTTTTAGAAGAAAGCTAGGAAATTAAGAACTTTGAGACTTTTAAAAATACCATAACTTGCTCTCAGGGTTAAAAAGTTAACCATGTTTACTAAAAAATTACAATTTAATATCAGAAATCTCTTCCCATACTAAGAAACAGGTATCCTTCAAGAAGGAAGAGTGGGGAAGTTCGTAAGAGTTCATCTTTATTTTCCCACTTCTGGTTTATTTTACCCTTGGTCAATCCACTCAAGGAGTATAAGACTAAAGCTGTAGAGTCATTTTCAAGTTGCACAAATGGACAGAATTCCTGAAAGTGTACCAGATTACAAAGCTCAAGTTTTTGGAGACAGGCACACCTGTCTAGCATTGTAGCATTTCTATTTACTGGACATCCTAGGTGGTTGCCCAATAATTATGAGAACTACTACAAGACCGAGACAAAGTTTTATACATGCCATATACTCAGTTCTCAGTTAATACCAGTTTATCATCCTCTCCTTTTTCCCTTAAAAATTGACATAATAAAATTATGTTGAGAAAACTTAAGTCAACCTATAGAACAATGACCAAGAGACAGGCATGACTAATAAACACCGAAAATAGTCAGCCTCAGTAGGTGCTCAAGATGAAGAAATAAAAATAACTAGATGCTGACTTTTCAATTTTTAACTTAACTATGCTTAAAAATAGATAATATTGGAGATACAGTTATTCTTACATTGATGGTAAGAGTATAAATTAGGAGAACTAAACTAAAGTAATTTGGCTACATGGTATGTCTTAAAATTTCATACCTTTTGACTTAATAATTCTACAAATTTGATTACAGTGATAATTGTATTTTCTCACAAGGCTTTATAGAATTCTAGCCATTAGACCACCAGGGAGTCCACAGAGATTTATAAAGATTTTCATTGGGATGTTTTCAAATAATAAAAAAATATTATATGGTTAAACATTTTGTGGTGATTAAACACAATGATATCAGAGAATGATTAATAGCATGAGAAAAGTCTGTGTAGGCCATATCTCTCTAAAAAGCAAGACAGTCAACTATACATAGAGTATGGTTCAAATTGTGCAAAAAAGGGAAAAGAATATATGAATTATCAAAGACAGGAAAAAAAGACTCAAAGGAGAACAATGGCTGTCTTTAACAGTGGGGTTATTGATGAGTTCTATTTTCTTTATTTATACTTTCCTGTGTTTTCTGAATCTTTACACTGTTCATGACACCGTTTTATGTTCAGAAACAAAACAAAAACAAAAACATGAAGTCGGTCCATTGAGGTGAAGAAAGCCGATTAAGAAGCCTGAGTGCAATTGAAACTCCTCAGCCTACAACCAGGCTCATCTGAAGGGGAAAGATGTGCTAGTTCCATCAGCTCCTGATCCAAGAGGAGTGACCCACAAGTTGGTGCCCTGTGACTAGGAGAAGCTTCTGAGGGACAGGGAAGGGTAGGGCTACCAAGACATTTTTAGTACATAGGGTTTGCTTGGTTCCAACATGATACCCCTGAACTTCCAAACCAACTAAGAGTTCAACTATGCTTGGAAACTATTTTACCTCATGCCTAAAATCTGGGCTTTTCAGACTTTTTTAAGCATCACCGTGAACCAGCATGGGTCCAGGGATTCCCACTTAAGAAACCACTTGGTTTCCTTCTTTCTATTCACCCCACTTCATTCTAACAATAACCACTGTCACTTTGTAGAAATAAGGACACTGAGGCCCACATCACGTACCAGGTACATTGGGCTTGTCTGACCATATTTTATTGTATTGTCTGTGAGTCTCTATGTTGTGTTCATATTGTCCAGAATAAAAAGAAAATGAAATAGTTTATTTAAATATAGAAATTGCCTTAAGAGTGACTTAAGTTTTAAAATAATAAATTTGCTCATTTAAACGTTGGAAAGCATTGCTCATTGTTATCTTGGGTATTGCCAGGTTTAGCAATAAGGGACCAGGAACATGAATATACAGAGAAAGGAATGCTACTTAAAGGGTGTTAGTGTTAGATTTAAAGATGCAGACAATTGTGGGAAACGACATGAGTTTAATTAATACAGGCAGGAGATGCAATGACTGTTCTGTATGTAGAAAGCTTTGGGCAGAGGACATAGTGACTTTCCAAGCAAAGAGACAAGCTTCCATGGGCCTCATGTTCTCATGAGGTTCTTACCCTCCTGTTCTCAGAAGTTATCTTTTCACTCTCTCAACTCATCGTAAGTGTTCTAAGGAAGCCCTGGTTCTTGGCCCACAACACCAGAATATTCCTCAGTGTCTACTATGAGATGCAGTGACTTGCAGATGAAATTTTAAGCCTTCTAACTCTTTGCTGGACCGGATTTACAACCTAAGAGCTACTTCTGTAAAAGAAAAAGAGTCAGAGAAACCAGGACTGGAGAACACGTGGTGAAACAGGAAGAATGGGGGCATCTGCAGTGAGATTAGTAATCGATATTAAAATGCCACTAAGTACTTTAGGGCAGCATGAGGCGTGCTTAAAATTTGGGTCAGGAGGGCAGTAATTGCCAGAGAACAAACAAGAGTGGTAGGAAAAATAAAGAACTCCCCAAATTGAATGCCACTGTTAAGAAGAAGGAAATTAGGATACTAGACATAAAAGATACAAAGTAACTACATGGTTACTATAGTAACCATTTGCTCCTGTTAAGAAATACCATCTACATTCTCTCTAAATTCCTGATCAATTTTACAGTGACCTCATATGACCAATCTTGATACAATGCTATATATTTAATGAACGTGGTAACTCAGTATTTGGTTTTAATGGACCTATTTTTAAATTTGCTGATATTGATCTTAGTCAATATGTTTTTGCTGATCTTTAATCCTTTTGATTCTAATCCAGGCAACTGACTGGTGCCTGTCTGAGACTGTCTGGCCACTAACAGATGGGCTAGCCTTCACATGGCCTGTTATGTCACTACAAATTTGAGAGTGTGCTAACATAAATAATCCAGATTCATGTCCCCCATAGACAGAACATATTTGCTTTCATCATGTATATGGGATAAATGTATAGTCCTACCATTTTTTTCCTTTGAACTTTCACTCACTTTTATGATGAAATATACATTAGAAACTTTAAAAAAGGCTTTGTCTTGTCAATCACTTAAAAATCCAGTACATTCCCTTTTTCAAAGACTTTCATGAGTCTTTCATGCAGTCTGCATGAAATCTATTTTAACTTATTTTTTTAAAAATAGCATTTTATTTTGTTCTGTGGGGTAAGAATTCATTGCCTCTAAAATTAATTCCACTTGAAGAGCTCTCATTTTTCTCTCCACTTAGTCAAGGATAAAGGGAGGCTCTTCTCTTTCTTCCTAGTTACAATATTTCCTCTTTTAATACTCTCCCTACAATACTACTTCTCCATCAGGATTTCTTTAACTGGCACCCACCAATAGAATTCAGGGGTTCGGTGAACTTAGGTACGAATAAAAATTTTATCTTTATTTTACTAACTTCCAGCTAAGTGGCGATCCTACAATTATGGGTGTAAGCAACAAAACACAGAAATTATGTCCAACTCTGTCGCTAATGAAATCATAGACATAATCATAATCATATCAATTTTTGATTGTTACTGATATAACTGAAAACATATTTTACATATTGATATTTAATATTTTAGTGTATCATTGTGTCACAAAATTATTTTTGTAATATAATGATAGCTTTACCTAATATAAGTAAATTTCGTTGTAATCCTATATATTTTCTATTATTCATACAAAAGCATTGTTTTGAGAGGGGGTCCATAGGCTTCAGAAAAATATGAAAGGGATCCATTCTTCAAAAACTGTTGGAATTTCAGTCAGTTTTTCTAAAGCCTCCTTTTTCTATGTAAACCATAGCTTGAATGTTTTTTACTTGTCCTGAAATGCCCCTAAGTCAATAAACTTGTATTTTCTTCAGAAATCCTATGATCTATTATGTTTTTATATTGCATGTGAAGTAAGAGCATTTTTAGTGCCAGTTAGAAGAATGAATCAGACATTAAATTAGCATTTACTATAATGAAATCAGACCTGTATAATCACCACAGTGCAATTACCCTCATCTGAAAATTTGCTATGTTTCCCTTTTCAGCGTCAAATAATCAAAACTCTTATTCAGCTGCGAAGGATAGAATGTTCTTCCTCCAAGTGCTGAATACAGGCATTGATTCCCTGTGACAAAAAGGCTTCTATAACGATTGATTAAAATATTTATTAAGTGCTCACAACACACTAGACAGTTTGCTAGACATAGTCACTTTTACCAGTGTAGGAATATTCACTACAACACACAGATATTTAGTACTAAATATAACATGCCCAAGTCACCATACAATATTTCAACGTAGAAAAACATTTTATGAGTAAACAGATAAAGGAAACAAAAGTAAAACATAGAAATATTTATTTTTGCATATTTATTTGTTGAACTGAATTCCAGGATTAATCAAATCCTCAGTCTCTGTTGAGTCCTGGTGAATCTGTGTCTAATGGAGAGGCAGCCTCATTTGCAGTGATTGGGCAACCGGAGCAGTAGTCACTGCTTCCATTAAGCGTGATGGTATCAAATAGTGGTGATATCACATCTCAGGAATCAGACAGTCAGTGGTGATATCACATCTCAAGAGTCAGACAGACCCAAGTCTGCATCCTGGCTCTACTGCTGACTAGTTCTGTGATCTCGTTTAAATTGCACTTGAAGCTCAGCTTTCCTACCTTAAAAAATGAGAATAATACATTATGACTTGCAAGGTAGTTATGGGAATTAAAAAAGTTATATGGAAAATGCCTGTCACCCAGTTGTCTGGCACATATTAAGCCCTCAACAAATTTTAACTGTCACTGTTGTCAGAACTCTGCTCAAATATGCCCCCTTCCTAGCAATAAGAGTTCAAGAATCATGTCAATTTCTAAACTTAAATATTTAACTCTTACCAAATATACCAAGTATGATATACTTTTTGGGGGGCAATAAAATTAAATTAGAAGTTATACACACACACACACACACACACACATACATGTACACATACATATACAGAAATGTAGGAATCAAATGGGAAATACTGAAAGACAATAAAAATAAATGCTAAATGTTGTGATACATAGTTTGATATTTATATCCTGGCATGAAATAGGGTGATTGAAGAGAGTTTAAATGAAAGAGCAGTTTAAAAATATGTGGGTAAGTTTAAGGGAAGCGATATAGAATGGTGCAGCACCCAAGCAGCAGCAAATGTGGGGAGCCCCTACTACACCACAAACCGAGGAGGGGAGGAAGCCATTTCCAGAACCTGCAGAGAGCGTGGCTGTCACTGCAGGAGAGCACCTCCCAAGAGGAGTTACAGCCTTATCTAGAGGGGCACAGCCACTGTCCCACCCCTGTGTGGGAGGGAAGTCTAGGGATCATATAGTCTAACCTCTGTCTTCATCAAACCCCAAAACTGGCTGGAAGCCAGAGAACTCAGGAACCCCAAGTAAAGCACTCTGGAGCATGATGGTGAAGGGTAGAGAGTGAATATGAAGAGGCTGACAGAGATTAATAAGTAAAATATTATAAAATGTACTTAGAAATTCAGAGGAGGGAGCCATAGGGATTTGAATTATCTCAGGAAGCTGCTCTAACGATGCAAGCTAGTCCTACAAATAAGTCCTGCCTTAGACTCGCATGTGTGTACATTGTAATGAAACATGACATAACCACTCTGCTCTAACAATTCCACCCAGTGATATGGTCGTGAGCCCCTCCAGTAATGGTGCTACTTCTTACAGCTATACACCATCAGTTATGGTGAACCAGCTTGGCAAGAGCCCAGGATTTTTGCCCTGCAAGTCTTCTGGAAGTTTAGAGAGAGGTTACTTAGCAAGCAAATTATCTTGTATGAACAGAGTGAACAAATGCATACTGAGGTAAAAATTGCAACTAACCTGACAATAGGTCTCAGCCTTGTTTTTCTCCCTGCCCATAAATGGTCTGGTTATCTGTTGGAAGACAAATGCTCTCTGTTGTCAAGGAGCCTACTGAATCCTTCACTCAGCTGCCATTGATTACTCCTACAGTACCTATTCATTTGCAACATTCTATTGATCTGTTTACAGAATTCACTTCAGGACTTATTTTGTGACAGAGATGCTATCAACAAGGGATTCCTTTGGGTCTTGTTTATAATTTTGTTGTGGTTAGCAAGGCTGTTTGTATGTTCAAGTAGATTGTCCCAAATGTTTGGTCTTATTTTGTGCAATAGTAATAAATCAGTCTTTCCACAGTCAATTCAGTGAATTATTCATTCAGCAAACATTTTCTCAGAGACTGTTTTGTGCCAGGCACTGTGATAGGTATTAGAGATGCATCTGTTAGCTCTAAGAGGCCAAATTATTTTCATATTTTAAATTCTAATGTACTGGTAATACTGTCTTTTTATTGTTCTCTTGAGAAAGACTCTCAAACCTAGCTAGGGATCAAGCAGAAAAGAGTTCTATAATTGATGACTAATGTCTACAGCACTTTCAGCTGAGTATCCGCTCACCTGGTTGGTCTGTGTAATGCATTGCATCTTTCAGGTTCAGTACCACTTCTTTTTGATAAGAAGAAACCTTTGTATAATAGTAACAGACAAGTTTACTTTAAGTATAGATTTTCTTGTACCCAGAAGGCTCCCCAAATCTTTTGTTGAATAAATTAATTTAAGGCTTTCAACATTCAAAGGAATTGGCCTTTATCTGGACAATGTGTGGTTCTCACTTTCTATCCTTTCTACTTCTGTCATACTCTGAAAAGTGACAGTGAAAACTCACATACAAAATGGTGCATACCTTTCTGTGGCTGGCATTTCTAAAGAGCTTCCCTAATGATATCTATGAATCTACATATGAAGATTGAAACTAATGGAGCATATGTGAAATTAGGAATGACTGGGTTTTAAGCTCCAGACCACTTCCAAGTGGAATCTAAGAAACAATTGGAAAGTGATGGTTGCATTTTCTGTCTGTGACAGTTACATGGATGTATTCTATACTGGCTTCATAGAAAAAATTAATTCTAAATTTGTCCCTTAGTTAGAAACAATGAAGCTTTACAACCTCAGAACATCTTGAGAGATGTTTCCTGGACAACTTCTCTTCAGGAACATCCATCTTGGTGAAATGAATTAAATCGTTAGGTATTATGTTTGTATGCATATTCTTCAAGACACACATACAGTGGATGAATTCACAGTAATTTAATCCATTATCTTTTCCTTCTTAAGGTAACTTCTATCAAATGGTCTCTGAGTTTTCCTCTCTCTCTCTGTCTCTCTCTCCCTCCTTTCTTCATGTTTTCTAAGGATTAAAAACATCTCACTTTTGGATCACTGGCCTTTGCTTCATGACTCTGTACCTTAACCTAGAATGAAGCAAGAGTCTACTCATACCTATAATGGTCAAAATGCCTGCTATTTCTCTTTAACCTGTGGGTCACTCCTGCCTTTAGAAAGGATAATCAAAATATTCAACAACTCACAAGGCAAAGACAGCAAGCTGGGAGAATAGATGTTGGCCCATAGCCCTGAAGGAGGGGTTCAGAAGCCCAAGCATGATTGATGAATCAGGCATTCATCTTTAGTTGCCACCAATTATGAGATGGTCTGAGGTTTCCTGGGGGAAAGAATAAGGTAAGTGGGCCAGAGGGGATTTTATTCTTGAGGGCTAGGATGGATATTAATCAAATGCCAACCCTTTGTAGTCAGGATCTGTTGGGTTCTGCTGTTTGGCCCCTTCTCTGAGGGCTGCAGAGATTCCCAGGGGAGAGAATTGCAGCTGATAGGACACCCAAGCCCTCTGTTCTAATAGGAGACAAGGCACCACCATCTCTCATTGCTTTTTCTCCTTCTCCATGTTAAAGAAAAACTTACTCTGACACTTGTTGAAATGACAAGGCAAACTTCATTCAGGATTACCACAGTAGGTACAGGCACTGCTGCAATGGAGTTTTGCAGCAAAGGAGAGAGACTGGGCTTGACTCCGAATATAATGAGGAAAAGTGGGAATGTAAACCAAGGAGCAGAGTGGAAGAGAGGGTCAGTGGATGGAAAATTACTGAGAGGAAGCCTCAAGGGTAAGGGGAGGCCGTGGTTCTGGCTGAACTGGCCTAACAGGGTTCTTGCTAAAGACAGGCCAGGGTGACCAGACACCACCTGGCGGATGGTGGAGCATGAAGAATTTGAGTAGATATTAATGGTGATCAGATATTGCGGGTGGAGGATTCAGGCTAAACCAATGTGAGCGGAATCTTGCTAAAACTTTGTTCTCAAAAGACATGGCTGAGGATGGGGCCTTATGGGGCCTAACTGGGCCCAGAGGAGCCTGACTAGTTTGGACAAGGAGAGAATTTTTGTCAGCCATGTGTTTTGCTGCTTGTTCTTTTTTTCTTTCCTTGTCTTTGATATTTCTTTTCTTTTCTTTTCTAAATTTGGTTAGCTATTATAATATTTATTTTTTACTGATGCTTACTCTGATCCATGTAGTATACTAATTGCTTTATGAGCATCATCACATTTAACCCTGTCAACAAATTTAAAATGTGGTTACCTCTATTACAGATAAAGAAATTAGTTTCAGAAAGGTTTCCAAGATCTTAACATGACCAAAAAAAAAAAAAAAATTACACAGTTGATGCACATCATGTATGGAATGTGAACCCAGACCTCACTGATTGAAGATTGCACATATTAACTATGTCACTATGTCAGCATATCCCAGCATTTTGTCTTTTTAATTTAAATATCATTAGACTGTCTTGTTCTCTCTCGAATACTTCCTGTTGCCTTAAACCAGGCATCATGCTATATGTATGTTCTATGTTTGTGTGTGTGTGTGAGACTAATATATCAATATATAGATAGATCATATAGCTAGATCTATACCTCCATATATATATATATATATATATATATATATATAGAGAGAGAGAGAGAGAGAGAGAGAGAGAGAGAGAGAGAGAGAGGGAGAGAGAGAGAGAGACTCACATAGGCCCTTTAGCCATTTGAATTTGTGGTTCCTGTCCTAGAAAACACCATAATTTGTCCGTGGAGAGACCTGTTATTTTATTTGTGAAAATGTCTTAAAGGCCCTCAGATTATACAAGGGTAAGCCCAAGGGCTAACCTAAAAGGAAAAGCATAAGAGGGAAAGAGCTGAATTGTTTTGCATGATAAAGTGACAGAGAATTTAAGTTGACCCCTGACGGTTCAAGAAAAGTTTGGGGCTCTGGAATTTGGTAAGAAATAGGGGACCGAAAGGGTTATTAAAAGGATGATGTCCCAAGGCAGCCGGCTGAGACCTATGAGGAAAATTAGTAGTAGTAGTAGTAGTAGTAGTAGTAATCCTAAAACCGTATAGGAGTGAAGGCCTAGAAAATAGAACTTGTGGAAGAATGCAATTTGGATTTTATTTGGGGGTGGTTGGTTTTGTTAATGAGGATCTGGCTGGGAAGGGAAATTTGGAGTAGGAGAGATAAGAAACTATAGACTCTCTCCCCCAGGAATGCTCAGAAACCATAGCAGTGGTGCTGGACTTCCACCAGAAGACTGAAGTCAGGTTGCTTGAATAGTAAAGAAAACTGTGACCCCAGAAGATTGGAGTATATGGGGGTATTTGGGTTACAGGATTTTCAGTGCTTTGAGAAAGAGTTGCTTCTTCTCAGATTAATTTTGGAACTCTTACTTGTTCTCCTAGTATGGACATTTAAACAAATAATTCTTTTGCTGTCAACTTGTTTTATAAAGACCTTTCACTGACAACCTGTCCTATAAATATCTGGGCAAAGGAAGATCAGTCCCAATTGGCTTTGATCATTTTTCTTTATGGCACTGTGTTTTGTGGGCATGACATAAGGTCACCCTAAGCTCTATACCACCTGTCTTTGCAGATATTTTCCAAACTATGTCCCGTGGAATGTGTTTGGAGATGGATTCTCATTATCGTCAAATCAACGGTCAATTACCACTTGTAAAGGATCTTAAGGGTGTTTGTATTTCCTTGAGAAAATAGAATTAGATTCAGTAACAATGGTTAGCACTTACTGAGTGCCACTGAGCCAGACACTCTCTCGAGTAACTTAGTGTTAGCTATCAAATGTTCCTAATACCCTGTGAGGTTGCTGCTGTTCCCATTACCATCCTTCTGATAAAAATAAACCCAGGTGTGTGGAAGTGAGCGATTTGGAACAAGGTATCATAGCAGCGGTCAGTAGCAGAGTTGGGACATTGACTCCAGCAATCAGGTTTTGCTCTGAGCCTCTGCAACATCTTGATAAAATAATTGTTGGTTATTGGAAATGGTACAGTTTTTGATAATCTCATTTTGTCATTTTTAAGCCCTAAACTTTTAAGAAAGCACCTTTGCTGTTTTTTTCAGTGGTGGTCAGGAATGAATGTTCTCAAATTTTGGCCTTGGGGAACGTAAGTTAATGAATGCATGTGAAAATGCTGTCCATAGAAGTTTGGGGGCTAATAGAACTTACTTTTCCTTTCACTCAGATTATCCCTGGAGCAATTTAAGACTTCTAAGTAGGAAAGACTTCTAGGTGTTTTTGACTAGATACAAGATTCTCATGCTTATGTTCTACTACAGTGACAAATGATTTAAAAACTAAGATAATTGGCAAAAAGGTGAACAAATTAGGGAGAATGGGAAGAATACTTGAAGAGTATTTGAGCACTTAAAAAAACTTAGATTTTTCTCTGTGAACTTCACAGTACAAATGCTTTATTTTCTTCAAAACATGACTCCAAAAAATTTAAAAAAAGATTGATTTGGATGAGAAGATTTATTTTAGAATGACTGTCATCTAATTTGAGTGATTCCTGTTAACTGTGGTTTCTGTCATTTAGGAAATTCTCACTTACTCATTTGATGTGGTGAGAGCCATTTTTCCATGTGGGAGATTTTGGCCTGCTGCATCTTGTGCTATGGGACGCTCCAGCCCCTGCGTTTTCTTTGTCTTGAGCAAACTCAGCTGCCAGTTTCATCTGTGATCTGTTATCCTGGAGTGGTCAATCCTGACCTAACCAGTTGTATGATCTGTTGTGAAGAATTGGAAGAAGCCGGTCTGCTGTAGAAGCTGTCTTACAGTAATGTGCATATACTGCATGTGAGAGACAAAGAATATAGTGATTTATTCTAGTGATGTATATCAAGAATTTATGAGATGGAAATTGACATGCCGGCTCCACAGCCCCCACCCATGGTAAAATTTTTTTATGAAGGATAAGACCCATTCCTACTTCTAATACTGGGTGAATTATTTAGATAAACATCTCCTTCAATTTGTAGCACTGAATTCCTTACATGCAATTCAACAGTGTATTGCACTTCTATTATTTGCAATGTGTCATGGCAAACTGTGTTTTATCATTTTAAATATAATCTAGTGAGGAAGAAAGACACATACTTAAATAATTCTGATACAAGTTAATACTATAATAAAGTTGAAAGCACTATAAAGAATTATAGACTGAGCTATGGAATTCATTTTGAATAGGGATGGACTTAGACTGGGAATTTTACTCTTTTTCATAAGTTTAGTACTTTTGTTGTGATTGTCATACATGGATAAGGACAGCATATTCTATACCTTTCCTTTTCCATTTCTCTGAACCCTTCTTCTAGCATCCTGTATGCCTTATGCCTGTGGCCATTCTTACTCTTTAAGTATGGGTCCTTTAAATGGAGGATACTAATGACTTTCCTAGTCCTTTCCATATCCCATGGCCAGCCATGCCCCATTTGGGATGTTGAGTTGTAGATGGGAGCAGTAGCTCCCCACTGATACCATGGCAAAGAACAATAGCCTTATTTAGGGTAGTGGAGCTACTTTGTGCTTCCCTGTCTGAATAAACACAAAGGTCCTGACCCTGGCCCCCCTTGGAGAACTGGAGGAGGCAATTTTACATAACAAATTTCAATTAGTGGTGCTAATGGAGAAGACTTGCTGTGAACCGCCTGAATCCAGGGAAGATTTGCAAACAAAGTCTCAGTTCATGCTATTTGTACCAATTTCAATTTAAGCTGCTGATTAACTGTATGTTTTTACACATGTAGAAAAACAAATTATTGCAATTACCAAGCCTCAGGAATGTAACTCCGCAAGCTTTATTTAAAACCACAATGCAGCTGTGGCAATCATTTCCACAACAACTCTTGTAGTCTCGTAGCGTTTATTTTTGTGTTGAGATTTATTTTTTATTAAGTTTGTCAAAGACACTTTATACATAGGCGCTTAATAATGCTTTTTGGTGAGTGTCTGACTGAAATCTTCCTAGTTGTTTTAAAAGAGTCTTACTTGTCATATTTTGATGTGGAATTCAGAGATCAATACAATGTTATGAATTTGAGGTGGATCTCTTTTTCTTTGGATTTTTTCTTTCCTTTTTTTTCTTTCCTTTTCCCTTCTTTCTTCTCTCTTCCCCTTCCTCCCTCCATTCTTTCCTTCCATCTCTCTTTTCTTTGTTTTGGTTGATATTGGAAGTGATCATCAATAGTGTGAGAGAACCACTGAATCATCCATTGTTTCTTGTAGGAATCTAATTTTTGGAAGTGAAACAAATGAATCGTCCTCCTGAAAAGAAAACCATTAGTTATTTAGGAATTTTTTTCTCTTCTCTGAGTGAGAGCTTCCTTTATATGTGACTTAAATTCTTAAACATGAGACTGCAGGGGACCAAAAGAGAGAGAGGCAATTTCCTTTTATAACTGCTTGTGATAACACATGTGGTTCTGTCACTAAGTGGTGGTATTTCTTTTTAAGTTTAATTCAGTCACCTAGTTTGTTTCTTTAAGCATCATGTTGTAGATGTCTAAATCATCACCATGTGGAATGTGCTGAACTGAGCTGATTATTGCATTCTATATACATCTAGTAGGGAATCCAACTTCCCGAATTGATGTCTACTAACTAGGCTTCTCTCTCTCTTTTCTTTTTCTGGAAAGTGAAAAGGTAATTAAAGTTGCTTTTGTCAACCTATCTTCTTGGGACTTTGGTCCTTGCTGTAAGGATTTGGTGTTCAGCCTGAGGGATTCTAGAATTTCCTTTTTTTTGAAAAATCTGAATTCTAGCCATGGTACCCTTTTCCCAGTACCAGACATGTAGATAAAAGACGATGTATGAGAGAGGGAAGGAAACATTTGCAGTCCCTCTTCTATTGAAAAACATATTGCTGTTTCTATTTCTTCTATCTTCTGGCATTCTAGCCCCAAGTGTGTGTGACAGACATTCAGTAACTGGAGAAATGCTGGGATTTTCAGTCTGGCAGTTTTGATGTAAGACACAAACGAACATCTTCTCATTGCTTGTTCATATGGGCCATTTTTATGTCCAACATGGTCTTCTTAAAGCAAACATGCAAAAATAAAATTGTCCTAAAAAACCTGGTTGTTATGGAGAAGCATGTTTGCATCATTATGTGCCTGAAATAAAATGGAATGATGGTGTTGAATATCCTTGATAATAAATAAAATAATTCTTTATTACATATTGTGTGTGCCTTGCTTACAAATGTATGAGAACATTTTGGTTTTGTGTATAATAGATTGCATTATTATCCATGGAAATTAAGTAAGGGAGCAGCATAAATGGAATTTAAGCAGTTTAACAATACTTCATAGTGTGAAAGTGTGCTGAAAACTATAAGCCATCTTTGTATTATTATATACTGACAGAGTGAGTCTATGTGAGTATGCAAATTTTAATCTGATGTGAATCATGTAACTAAGTCACTATTAGTCAAAGTTTCACAGAATTATTACATTTCTAGCTACGAGAAAAATTACTTCAAGTTGACAGTATATTGTAGGAAAATCAATGACTAATTGCTTTCACCTTTAAAGCAAAATATAATTTAGTTTGGTTAATATTTGTATTTGCCAATCAAAATTGAGACATTTTAGCCTCTGAATATATCATAAATAATCCTTTGTTTTATAATTGTGTTTATGGGCTAGCTTTAGTCTCAAATCTCAGAGACCAATTTCAACTTCCACAGCTAGTAAGAGGAAGTGGAAATATGGATAAAGTTTCAGGTATGGTTGGATCTAGGATCTCAAACAAGATCATGAAGATTTTTTTTTTCCCCCTCCTTTTTTTTTTTTCTTCCTTGGCCGTTCGTATTCTCCGTTCCTTCTTCCTGCTCTCAATCCTGCATGCCGGTCTTTGCTTTGGGACTGATCTCACTCTCCTCACATGTTGGGGAAGATGGATTCTAGCAGTCTCAAGTTTGAATCATTCCTTTCTTCCTTGTTCCAAAAAGAAAAGTGACATTCTCACTCCTTGTCTATATACCCCAGATAAGGCAGAGCACTGATGATCCTTACTTGTATAACAGACCCATTCCCTATGGATAAATATATACTGAGAGGGAATAGTGCATATTTGATGGTTCACGTTTATGTCACATGCTCACTGCCACAGGCAGGAAGTAGACTGCTGTGGATATCTACCGCGCCCAGGAATATTTAAAATAGTTTTTCCATCAGATCTTGAAATAGACCATTAAAAAAAAAGATTTCAATCTGTAAGATACATTAGCCATATATATGAATAACACACTTACTGAAAGCTGCATAAGAATGACATTAAGGCGCGCCCGCGATCATGTGACACGTTCAAGATGGCGGCGCCCGGCTCCCTGTGGCTCTTGGCCGTCGCTCTCCTGCCCTGGTCCTGCGCTGCTCTGGCGCTGGGGCGTCTGGACGCGCCCGCGCCCTTGCCGCTGGTGATCTGGCGTGGGATGGGAGACAGCTGTTGTAATCCCTTAAGCATGGGTGCTATTAAAAAAATGGTTGAGAAGAAAGTACCTGGAATTTACGTCTTATCGTTAGAGATTGGGAAGACCATGATAGAGGATGTGGAGAACAGCTTCTTCTTGAATGTCAATTCCCAAGTAACAACAGTCTGTCAGATTCTTGCTAAGGATCCACAATTGCAGCAAGGCTACGATGCTATGGGATTCTCCCAGGGAGGCCAGTTTCTGAGGGCAGTGGCTCAGCGATGCCCATCGCCTCCCATGATCAATCTGATCTCCGTTGGGGGACACCACCAAGGCGTTTTTGGACTCCCTCGATGCCCAGGAGAGAGCTCTCACATCTGTGACTTCATCAGAAAAACGCTGAATGCTGGGGCTTATTCCAAAGCTGTTCAAGAACGCCTGGTGCAAGCAGAATACTGGCATGACCCCATAAAGGAGGATGTGTACCGCAACCACAGCATCTTCTTGGCAGATATCAATCAGGAGCCGGGTGTCAATGAGTCCTATAAGAAAAACCTGATGGCCCTGAAGAAGTTTGTAATGGTGAAATTCCTCAATGATTCCATTGTGGACCCTGTAGATTCTGAGTGGTTTGGATTTTACAGAAGTCGTCAAGCCAAGGAAACCATTCCCTTACAGCAGACCACCCTATACACACAGGACCGCTTGGGGTTAAAGGAAATGGACAAGGCAGGACAGCTAGTGTTTCTGGCTACAGAAGGAGACCATCTTCAGCTGTCTAAAGAATGGTTTAATGCCAACATTATACCCTTCCTTGAATGAAACCCTTGAAGTTCGTAACACAGCACAGGGAGCCCCTAACTCTTCCAAACCACATGGGAGAGAGTTTCCTTCATGCCCAAGTCAGAGCTCAGATCCAGTTTGCAACTAATCCTTCTCTCCTATCATCAGCTGACATGCCCTACTTGGAAAGATCTAAGATCCCAATCTTATCCTTTGCTCTTATCCTTTCTTGCCTCCTTTTGCCATATGGTGTTAAATGCAAATTTAATTAGGTAATAACCATGGAGATTGTTTTACAACCTTTTGTTGTGGTCAGTCAAGTTTAGTGCTAAGAAAGGCAGTCTGCTACAGGTCAATGCCAGAACTGTACCCAGGCCCAGAGGAGACTAAAGCAAAAAGATAGATTCTAAGGGCAAATATCTTCTTCAGGAAACTCTAGCCACATTTCAAGCAGAGAGAATGCTGATGATTTAACTAGTGCTTAGAAAAGTATTGCTTGGATGTTTCTGTGTAATTTTTCTTAAGGCTGCCTTCCTCTCTGGGTATGTTGCCCTCCATGCTGTTTTAGCAATAATTATTAGACAAATCCCACTGACCTACCATCTTGCCTCTGCAGCACCATTTTGTCTCCTTTAGTAGTGATGTATTTGTTGCACTGTCATAAGAGGAGGGAAGGGTTGCTTAAGAGTGGAAATGTACATCTTTATAACCTAAATAGGGGGTGAAGAAAACGTAGGAGTGAATGAAAAATAAGGCAGCTAGTTCTTTCCATTCCATCTTTGACCAACCTGCCCTTTCTTAGCATGACTTGTGGTCTGGATGCTAGATTTGGATTTTAGAGTCTGGATGGTAATTGCTAGCTTTAACATAGAACAGAAGGAACAATATGAAGAGACTGGGCTTTCTAACTTCCATCCCCCAAAACTAATTTATCAGCATACTCCAAACTATTTGATATGTTCTGTAAGAAAAGACTTGTTTGCTCAAAAAAGCTTAGAAAATATTGCACACTCCTTTTCTCCTTTTGGAGATCAACCTCCATTAGAATACTAAGGACTCTGAGAATTCCTGGTATGTATAGAAACTAACTATAATCTACCATCTCCTATGCTGTTTGAGCATGGAAATCATAGCCCCCACTCTGTGAAAATGTATTAACACTTTCTATTAATAGAAGACTGTTCTGTAGAATGCAAGTTTGGAGAAATGATTAGCTATGCTTTGATGCAAGGACATTGTTAGTGCTGCTAAGTTTACCCTTTATGGTTTTTCCTTTCTCTGTTAAGCCTCATTCTTCAACTAAAAAATGAAGATTAAGGACAAGAAGTGGGGGATGTGAAAACAGTTTTATGAGGTTATCTAAAATAAAGAGTAGTTTCTTAAAAAAAAAAAGAATGACATTAAATGACTGGCTTGCCTTTGCTAAACGATAATAACTTTATAGAATAACATGTTTTTTTGTGTGTGACACCATCAAAAATAGCAGTACAAACGCTTCATTTCTTATTCTTTTTTTTTGTTGATGATGATAGTATGGTAGTGGTGGTATTGACAATACCAAAGAAAATCACTGAAGGTGCATGTTTGGGAATTCTACCTTAATTTTCTTTATCCATTCATTTAACAAAGATTTGTTGAACACCAGCCATAAGGTTGGGAGACATCTGTGATCAAGACAAATACAACCCTTCCTTGAATGTCACTTTTTCACGGTATCCTTCCCTGCCTGCTATACTGCCAGTGACCACCCCTCTGCCCTGCATTACCCTGTCAGCATTGCCTATTCTACCTCCTGCTTTGAAAAGAAAAATCTTTGTAGCAATTATTCATTATTTGGTTATGTTTTTCTTATTTATTCTTATCTATCTTGATGAGAATCTAAGCTCCCTTAGGGCAGAGATTTTGATTTGACTTATCAGTAGTTATACTGCCAGCATCTAGGACTGTGCCTAGCACAGAGGAATAACTCAGTAAATATTTGTTGAATGTATGGATGAGGTCCTGACTATAGTCTCCCTTCTGTCTCTGTTTCCTACCAATGGACACAAAGCATGTTAACTATTATATATGCTGAACTTCTAGAAAGCAAAATAAAGCAGCTTAAATTCACAGAGGATGACAGTGAAGGGGTTAATTTGACCAGGTAGTGAGAGAGGTCTTGCAGATGAGGTGACATTTGAGCCTGAATAATGTGACAATATGGTCCAGGCCACTTCTTGGGGAGGAGACTTTGCAGCAAAGGGAAGAACAGATGAAAAGAGCTCACAGGTGGGATTGTGCTTGGCCATCATCAAGGAGTAGCAAGATGTTCAAGAAGGCTGGAGTGCAGTGAGAGGAAAAGAGAGGAGATAGACTGAGGGCCAGATCAAGGACCCCTGGTAGAGATGAGGTTTGACTCAGAGTGAGGTGAGATGTGATAAGAAGATTCTTGAGCAGAAGACTGAAATTATCTGACCCATGTTTTGAAAAGATAACTTGGGCTGTTGTTTGTCATTCAGGAATAGAAGTAAGAATACTCATTGGAGACCAGGTGAGGGAGGTAGGCTTTGTACTGAATAATAGGGGTACGGTTGGTGAAAGTAGACTCTGGACATATTTTTAAAGCTTGAGGTAAAGAAATTTTCTGGTAGATTGTATATGAAGTGATAAAAAGATGACTCAAAGATAACTCTGATGTTGAATTTGATTTTCTAATTTTAATTATTGTATAAATTTTCCAAAATCTTATATTCTTTGAAAACAGTGAATTCTGTTAAGCTAAAGTCTATTATATAGTTATACTTGAAAAAAAATATTTAAGGAAGTAGTTATACTTTGTAATACATGAAATATGAAAAGCCTTGCTAGAATGAAATGTGTAACTACATTAGAGACAAGATAGGTTCTAGAACTTTACAGCTCAAATAATTGATGACAAAATACTCAGTCTTTAATATCTATGTATATCTTACATCTGCCCTAATTTTGATATTCTTGAACAGTTTGTTCTCTGTTGGAAAATACAGTTGCCATAATCTAGCACTGAGGGTTGTAGAATGAGGTAGCAGTTGGCTGGGTAGGAGGAACAGGCAGCTTTGGGGGTAAGAAAGAATATCAGGATTCTCTACACAGGGAAGAAATTATTCATATCGAGATTTAGCAAAATAAAAGGATGATTATTTGTAGACTTTTACACTAGCAGATTATCAGAGTCACATCTATGCCTATGTCAATATCTATATATCTACATAGGGTAGATGTGTGTGATTTGAATTGTGCATATGGGCATCTGTGTTAAGATCAGGTGTCTAAACTTCCTTTAAGAACAAAATATTTTACCTGATTTTTTTATTGTCAGCAGAAATCTGAGAGTATATATGATAAGGGAGTTACTTGAAATATGCTTAAATAATCCTGGTAGAATTCAAATTCTACTGTTCAAGTTTCAACCTTCAAGCATATTGAGGTGAGATAAAATAATTGCATTCTTTTAGCACGGGATATGAAAAAAGTCAATAACTTATTTAAAATTATAGTTATCTGACACAGGAAACATTTTAAACCCTTCTAAATTCTTGATAAAAGCTATCCCTTGATCATAAATACATGAATTTTTAAAGTATGGATATGTTTGAAGGGTATGTTTGAAGTAATACCCTTTTCAATCAATGTCTAAAACTTACTTCAGGAACAAATTGAGATGATTTCTTAGGTAAATGAGAGCACTATTCTTCATAAGTGGTTAGTCTAACAGCACTTTAAAGGCCAGTTAAATGAGGGAAAGTGGTCCTCAAAGGACAGCAAGCCAGTGTCAAAGGTCTGTCAAAAGTCTGTCTTGACCCTTCTACTTTCACAAAAATCCAGAATTTTTTTGTTTTTTTGCCAAATGTACATAGACATGACTAGTACAGCACATTTTAGCAAGTTGGCAAAAAATTGTTTATTTATGTTTGGCTGGTAGTCATGAATACTCATGTTGGTTTTATATGCTATGTCCAATAAGATTTCCTTATCCAAGAGCAGTGATTTCCAGAATCTTCTTTGTGTCTGATGTTGCTTTGAGAGCTGGTTATAAGAAACAGGGTAATCCCATGTAACCTTATCTCTCCTTCTCAACTCCTACACTGTTTTATTATAATATAGTGCTTGTTTTTTTAAAATGTTCAGTATTTTCTTAATTTCATGCCTAATAACGACAAATAACAAGTACCTTGTAAGAGTATGGCTTAGGATACCCTCGTTTCAGTTATCAGTTACAATAACCTTAAGTACGTAACTTGCCTTAAAACTATCACCAATAGGATTTTCCAAATGCTGTTACAGGAAGGCAAATTGATTGATTCTGATTTATGAGAAAAATTCTGAAGCTGTATTAAAAATTTGCTCAAGAATGCTAATAGCAAATTATACAATTAGTAATAGTAGCAAGTTAACTTGCTTTTAACTTGATTTTAACATCTCCTTATTATGAACTATATACATTAAAAATGCCAATGTGCTTTTTAGTAATTTTTATTGCAACATTAGTCAACATTTTGAGTTGAACCCTTCATTACATAAATATAATTTCTACTTAAATTCTATAGAGAATTAGGGAATTAAATGAAGCAGAAATTGGGCCACTAGAGTTTTAAGTTAAATTCCATTTCAGAGATCTGAGACACTTTCCTTTTTTTCTTATGTTAGTAATCAGTCCAGAAAATGATAAGAAAAGTGTTTCTCAGAGTTAGGAAAAATTAAATTCTTTATTTTCCTACCCATTTTCCTTCTTTTTTCTGCTTTTACACTCCAAATATCCAATTATGGAAGTGAGACCATGACAAAATTTGATGAGACATTGCCTCAAATGTCTATAAAGAGAGCCACTCATAACATTATATCCTTTTAAAAGAACCCTCAAATAAATTTAATCCCCATTTGGGGCTATTCCTCAAACGTAGCACTGCTTACTAATTATTCTAGCATCCCTACATCTGATTAGATACGCAGTGCCTGTCCTTTGCCAATGGGGCAGCCAGTCGTCAGTTCCAGCAGATCGTGGCCATGTGAGAATGGTGGCCTACTATTGCCAGATCTGTGAAGTCAGAAATCTCATTTTAATGGAGACGTTCTGATTTTTTTCAATATTGGTAATTGATTTAAATTTTAAAAGAAATTATTTGGCTAGGAGGCCTCATTGACAACGATCGAAGGGGAAATCCAACTAGAATTTTATAGTAATTGCAGTAACTGCATGAAAGATGGGGGAAGGGGGGCAAGATTAGAAGCAGGAAGATAGTTTCAGACTGACTGGCCAGATGAATTATCACAGTGGCCAGTACTGGGGGAACAGAAACAGATCCAGAGAAAGAATAGAGGGTGGGCTAGAACTTTCAGGAGACAGAACAGGCAGGACCTAGAAGACATTGTGTTTAGATAAGAGCTTATAGAAGAAAAGAAGTTTCAAGTTTCTCTAAGGTCCCAGGAAAAAGAAACTGCTGGGGCTCAGGTGGAATGTGCATATTTTTAACAGTAATCTGAAATCCAATTATCTGTCTTCCACAAGTGCAGACACCACTCCTGCGCACACAGAATAATTATACCATGTATGGGCTCTGCTTTGATTTTTCAATCAGAGGATGCACTGGTACCATTGCTACATTTGCTGGAAAGGTCACGGCTTCAGTGGTTTAGAGGCTGGAAAACAGGATGAAAATAGAACGCCACAGTGATTGTGTAAAACAGAGGAGAAGCTTACGCAGGTTGGTATTCAATCACTGCCTGGAGAGAAGAATGAGAGAGGCAAAGCCAGGGACTGAAAACTCATATGTAGACTATGATGCTAGAAAAATGGGAAGGGGGCAATAAAGCTCTAATTCTCCCCATTCTGAGTTAGCTTGATACTGAAAACTGAACAACTGATAGCTCTTTGTTGAACTCCCTGTAGAGGGAATATTCTGTCTACTACTTAAAGATGAAATTCAAATGATCTTTGAAATCCTGGGTCTACATATTGTCTCTATTTGAAGACAAGAATAAGAAGATTTGGCGGGGGAAAATGAAGACACAGGGAAGAATGTCAATTCAATAGTATTTATTGGACACTGTCACATACAAGAGAAGGACCTGATGATCCAATATTGATTAAGACATAGTCCAAGCTCTCAAGACAGATAAACATTTAAGTAACTAATAGTAATAAAATAGAACACATATTGGCAGTAGCTGTCTTAGAGAGATTGAGCTTCAGAGTCCAAGGGACAGATAGCCAAATAACAATGTCCAGTGGTTGGAAAGAAGGGCCTTATTTCCAAAAGAGATGTCATGGCTCGACACAATTGCATAGAATATGGTTTGGGAGTCAATTCTAACAAAGATTAGAGATGACTGAACTTTCACAAAGAGAAAATGTAAAGCAAAAATCATGGTGCACC